TAGTTACACTACTAAAATTTTTAAATAAGTGAACCTAATGTTGATGAAAAAAAAGGCAAATACAGTTTAATGTTGATGATGCACAAAAAAAAAAAGAGAAAAAAAAAAAAGGCAAAAAGAGAAGAGGAGTGTTCTCTGACCTGAATGCTAGTCCTTGGGCAAAATTATGAGAATATAAAGTAACGAGCCGCTATTGTTGATGAAAGTAAGTCTCGGTTTTTGTTGATGATGATAATGTTGCTGAATGAAATTTGAGGAGATATGCAAATGCAATAAATTGAAATACATATTACAAGAAAAGCAAATACAGTTTCAAGTCTTTTTCACACACAGTTTCAAAGACAACATTACACAGATAATAAAGAAACAAACATTTACAGTTTTCCACTTAAAATTGGACATATTTAAACACACAACACAGACAGCAAAAGAAAAACAAAGATTATATTACATTGAAAACCCAATAGCAACAGCAACTAGTGCATATGTGATTTCCTCCAACTTTCTTGTGGTTACCGAGCCGAATCCTAATTGCTGCCAATGGGGGAGAAAAGAATAGATGAGAGAGAGAGATTTATTAAGAATGGAAAACTCATCCTGAGTTGAATCAGAAATGGAAAATTGAAGATTAAAAGGCTTACATTTGCGGTCCGCTTCACTCCCCTATCAGCTGAAATTTACAGAAAGGGAAAAGGATGTCTTTTGCATTGGGATGGTCCCATTCCAATGATTCCCACCATTCTTTTGGGAATACCACAATTTCTTTGAGGGAAGGAGGATGAGATGATTGGGCATTATCAATCAAGGGAAAATTCAAAGGAATCCTCTTTAGCTTCTTGCAGTGGTTAATCCTCAGACTTTGGATGGAATCACAAATCAACACACTGGAGCTGCTGCAGATGCTCTTCAATAAGGGCAATCTTGTCAATTTCAACTCTTCTAACTTGCGTAGAGTGACTTTTTCTTCTTCATGTGCCGATGACGATATCAGCTCCTCCATTTGCGAACAACGTGAAACCTCAATAGTCTCTAGTGATTGGAAGTAGCAGAGCAGCCATCCAGATGAGAATACCTTCTTTAATTGATCACATCCTTCAACCCTAATTTCTTTAAGAGAGAAAAAGCTTGTGGGAGGTACACGTGGCGGCGATAAACCAAAACCTTCTTCATAAAACACGGATTTCAAATTCTTTAAATAAGAAAGGACTAGATATTCAAGATTTGGAAGTGGATTGAACCCGGACCAAAAAACACTCTCTATATTTCCACAACCATAAATTGCAATCTTCTTGATGGAATCACAAATCAAAGAACCGCTATAGATGGTCTTCAACAAGGGCAAAATTGTCAATTCCAAACTTTTTAACTTGGGTAGAGTGACTTTTTCTTCTTCATGTGCCGATGACGATATCAGCTCCTCCATTTGCGAACAGTGTTTAACCTTAATAGTCTCTAGAGATTGGAAGTAGTGGAGCAGCCATCCAGATGAGAATACCTTCTTTAATTGATCACATCCTTCAACCCTAATTTCTTTAAGAGAGAAAAAGCTTGTGGGAGGTACATGTGGCGATAAACCAAGACCTTCTTCATCAAACACACATTTTAGATCCTTTAAAATTGTAAGTTCCAGATATTCAAGATATGGAAGTGGGTTGAACCCGAACCAAAAAACACTCTCTATATTTTTACAATCAAAAATTGCAATCTTCTTGATGGAATCACAAATCAAAGAACCGCTATAGATGGTCTTCAATAAGGGCAAACTTGTCAATTCCAACCTTTCTAAGTTGGGTAGAGTGACTTTTTCTCCTTCTTTAGATTCAGACCCTATTATCTCCTCCAGTTGCTCACATTTACCAACCTCAACAGTCTGTAGTTTCTGGAGATATTCCAACCACCTCACCAAGCATAACTTCTTTATTTTATTACATCGCCAAACACTAATATATTGAAGAGAGGAAAATGTGCCAGCTGGTAGCGATGCTGACTCAGCAATTGCTCCTACTTCCCCAAACACCATATTCAAGTTATGCAAAGAAAAAAGATCCAGCTTCTCAAGGTTTTGAAGCTTCCCCCAAATTCCAATCGTCTCCCATTTAAATTCTGTTTCGCCATCGGGATTTACTAGTAAATGCTGAAGTTTGGAGAGATTTTGTAGCGGTTCATCAAGAGTTTCAGATAATCTTCCACCAAGACCAAGATATTTTAGATTTGTTAACATGTTGAGGCCTTGCGGTAGTTCTTCAATTGATGTCCTAAAAAGGTCCAACTTTTTTAACCCTACAAGGTTGGATAATGCTGGTACCTCTCTTAAGGACTCACATTCATATAGCAACAATGTAGTAAGCTTCTCCAATTTGGAGATAGAACTCGGCAGCTTACATAGCTGATAATTGTAGGAAAGATCAAGGATCTTGAGCCCAAGCATATGCTCAAAAAAAGCTTCTGGAATTGTTGAAATCTTATTATCAGACAACAGCAAGGTTGTGAGCATAGGACACCTTGGAGACGGCATGCTTGAAGGAATTTCTATTATGTGATTCCTCATTAAAGAAACCTTCAAAAGATTTTCTCTCCATTCATGCTCCTCTGGTAACTTCTCCAAGGATATGCCGGCTTTCACCAAGAATTGAGGATTGATTTCCAGTGCCATTTCTCGGAGAAGATCATGCATACTCACACATTCTTCTCTTTTAACCGACTGCAACAAGCAGTTGTTAACTAGCTTATCGAGTATATCATGACCCTTCCAATTCATTGCCTCCCTAGTTTTCCCTTCTTTATATATAAGCCCCTCCTCAATCCAATACTCAATTAACTCCTCCTTTTTGATTTCATAATCTTCAGGATACAATGCACAACATAAAAAACACTCCTGGCATTGTTGTTCTAGGCATTCATAACTGAATTTCAAACAATCAATAATGCTTTCAAATTTACTGAATTCAGAAAGTGCCAACTTCCAA